ATTTCTTTATCGGGCCTTTTCCCGTATAATAGATTAAAAATATGAACTTTTCTTAAAATAAACTCTGCCGAATCCTCGAAATCGCCGTGGTGTTTACTATACAATTCTGATTCAAGCTTCGCACTATCTTTAACGACTTGAAGTGCTTTTAGTAATGCAGACTTGAAATTTTCCCAGTTATATGATTCAGATCCTGGGTTCCCCAACAAGAACTTTCCTATACTCTTCTGCCAGCTAAGGGCTTGACCTTTTAAGGCTGTAGTAGCGATGCTCACCTTTTGTAGCTGATTCACAGGGTGTAAGGTGAAATGTAGGTCCAATTGCTCCAAAAATGTCAGGACTGAGCCCTTGCCATCAAAAGTTGCTGTTGGTTTCATAGATGCATGCAAAATTTCCACGAGGAATCCAAACCCTTCTACTGGACTCGAGGATGTTGTAGGGACCTGAAAGGTCGGAGGGGTCAACATAAACTTCCCGTATTCTAACGACATGGTCCTTTAAAGAAACTTTTCGGGCACCAAATGTAGTGTTCCTCACTTTGGAATTTTAAGTTAATGTTGGAAGTGAGGAATCTAAGAACTGATAAGCGAATAATCGCTTGCGTTCGGTGACAAGAAACAACAAGATAGAAGGGTAACTAACCCTTATTATTCCAATAAGATTTAACAAAACTTTGCCTGGGAGTGTACAAGCAAAGCCTGCACTTGGACTGAACTTAAAAGACTAAGAATTAAACTAAAAACTAAGATTAACTAAAGAAGTATAGCCGAAGCTATCAAGGTTCAATTAGAGTTGGCCCCTTAACTTATTTTATTACGAAGCTTTGGCAAGGGCCTGAGTACGGCCGAGCGTAATAACAGCATTGAGAGAGAGCGGCCAAAATGGCAGAGATGCGCATTAAATCAGAAACTCTGATTCTCTCTGACTCTGTAAGTAACTTCGTGGTTTAAATACCACTCCTCCTCATTAATATTCAACAAATTCCAAGACTACGTTCTGGCCGGAAGTAGTAAGTTGAAGCTAAGAATTTGACAGGAAAGGAACTTTAACTTAAAATTTAAACTGTTAATAAAATTAACATAATTCTTACAATGTGTTTTCTTGTTGAGAGGAATTATGCTGCATCTTGCTCCTTTTCTGCCAAAAAACAACCTGTGGAATGTTTTCTCCACATCTGCAGAAATAGAAGCTTTCAGCTAATCGGAAGTTAATTAGCAAATGGAAATGTTAGGACTTAAATTTGTCCCGGTCCATTGACAAAAAAAAAAAAAAAAAAAAAAAAAAAAAAAAAAAAATTAGAACTTAGGAAGGCACTTTGTAGCAGAATTTAGGACCCGTAGAGACTGCACCGAGAAAGCCTTAAGTATATGTGAGAGTTTATTATTTAGGCCTCAGATTAGTTTTAAGCATGTGCAAGAAATAAACATACGTATAGTAAATAATAAACTAATACAATTCAGGCATAATTCAGTACACAATTGGAGCAACATAAAATTTAGCGAAACAACTTGGCTTTCGTTGCCCAATCTTGTGATACACAGCCAATAATATATAATGGACGCTATTAAGCTAGGATAAAATTATCTTTACTGATTCTAAGGCGTTTCAGTTAATGTAGCAGACTGCGCTACTCCCTAATTTTATAATTTGATTCAGCTTATTATTTTTTTTGTAGACTGGTTATTACTGCGGTAATTTTAGAAAAACTAAGCTTGAACTTTCGATTATGTCGAAAAGAGTTTCCAATTCTGGAGCTGCTAAAGGATCTACAAAGCGGTTTTATGTCTATTAAAACAAAAAGTGGAATTACTGCAAAAAACTGGGTAAAGGCATATCCGTCTCAAAATTGTGTGAGAAGTATGGCATTGGAAAGTGATCTGTATATGACATAAGAAAAAGGAACTTTTTGAATTTTTGGTGGAAGCAACTTAAACAACTTACATTGAAAGAAATGTTCAGTAATGTAAACAAATAAATATTAAGCTCTTTTTTGTAAATTTTGATACCCTTTAGATCATAATTGTTCTTTATTTCATAAATTACGATTTCATATTTTTAATTGTATAATTTTTGCATGCCATCTTACCAGATTTAAATTGATGATCCGATATTTGGAATCGCTGAAGTCCTGACAAGTCCGGATTTCGGACTTTGTACTGTATTTTTCTTTTTATCACTGTTGAAATACATGAGATACTGCAAACCAAAATGTTTGTCTTTCCTTTTTTAAATTAAGTATGTTCTGAATTCATCAGTGCAAAAACAAGGAAAGCTTCCACTGTCACAGAATGCCTTTGCTCTAATTAAATTTCTTACATTAGTCTGAATAAATACAAAGGTAGTAGATAAAATTATTGTTTTCCAACTATTAGTAGCTGTAGCTGTTATAAAAGTTTTTAGCTTAAAATGCAGCCACATGTACATTTAATGCACCTCTGTTGATTATCTGACTCCTTTTGATATGGACTGTCTGCTTTTTCTACAATGACATCAATGAAATAACTTTCGCTTTGATAGCACAAAAAGCTATGTTTTTTCCCACAAGTAATTGAAAGAGCAATTTCTCCTGTGAAAATTAAAACAACAAAAATACAAATTCTATTCTTTCTTTTACACTTAATTTGTTTAATTTAAGAGAGTGAGAAAGCTTGTGATTGTTCAAATTGAATAATCTGCATGAATTTTGTGTATGTTCTTTATTTTCATTGGCAACAACATTAATAACTGTGTGTGTAATTTTTATTATATTAATCACGAAGTGTTAAGCATTCTCACAGTATCTTTGAGAAATTCTGTAAGATCATTTAACTAGGCAAATTCTCTTTTCTAATTTTCTCTCCTACCAGATTTCATAGTTAGAATCAAATTTTTGTTCTAAAATGTATGTAAATACTTTAGAAGAAAACCCTTTTAACATTTTAGTGTAAAACTTCAAATGACCTCACACATTCACATGTAATATCAATCAAATGCAGTATCACTGATGCAGACTTATTTTGAATAGGCTTCATATTCATGGTGAGTATACACTTGTTCGCAGTCATTTGAGAAACTTTTTTCTAATAATGAAAAGGCTAAATTATAATTAGAGTCATCTATCTATCTATGTTATGATAAGCATCTCCTCTTAGTGCAGGTTTTAAGTACTGCAGTTTTATTGTATCTGTTAAATTAGGATTTAAATCAGCACTAGCTACAAAAATGTCTTTCAAAGAAAACCAGTCATGCATTTTATCTGAAAATGTTGGCAAAGTAATTTATCATTGTTCTCAGTATTCGTACAATCAGATAGCTCCGATTTATTTATCAGATATCAGACTTATTATCAGATAGCTCCAATAATTCACATGATGAGTTTTAAAATTGTTACCACATGCTTGATACAAATATCTAATAAAACTTAAAAGATATGTAACAGAAATTAAACAAATAATATTAATAATAATAAAAAAAAACAGTTTTCACAGGTGATTCAGTGGCACTTACAATTAATGCGTATGTGCTACTCTGAAAGCTTCTCTTTTTGAGACAGTCTGGCAACAGTATTCTTCTGCTATACTTCATAACAGTTCTATTTTCAGGCATTCTGATTAGATCACCAGTCCATCTTAATCTTTGGATGATATCTGGATACCCATACATCCTGTAGATTTCTTCAATGGAACTTCATCAATCTCCAGATGCCATCTAAGAGGGCAAGCCAAAAATTATCTATACTTTTGTCATAACTTTTCTTACATTGCGCACTTTGTCTTCTCTCCTCGCATATTTTATTGTTATACTGTTTTGGTAAAGTTTGATTTTAATTCCTCTATTTTTTCCCTCCTGTTGCAGATGATCATGGCTATATCATTAGAAGATTGCACCAAAGAGGAACAACGAGCAGTGATCTAATTCCTTTGGTTGGAGAGTGTGAAATGGTCAGACATTCACCGCAGATTATCATTGCAATATGGCAGAAGTGCACTGTCACGTAAAACTGTGTTTTGACGTGTTGACACGACAACTCCTAACACGAGTGAACTTGTGTTCTGCAGTAAGCTTTCTTGGTACCCATCGTGCACAGACTTTATGAAAACCGAGCTCATCGTGGATGATTTGATGGTCAGAGCCATGACTGATGTTCAAAGCAGATACTACCTCATGATAATGATTTGCCTATTCTTGTCTGACCCTTTCACACCCTCCGACCAGATGAATCTTATCATTGCTCATTGTTCCTCTTTGGTGCAAACTTTTAATGGAGCAGCCATGATATATCTGCAACAGAAGGAAGAAAATTTGAGGATTAAGATCAGACTTCTCAGCATTACCATAACAGTATAACAATAAAATATGCGAGGACAGAAGACAAAGTGCACGATGTAAGAAATGTTATGACAAAAGTGTAGATAATTTTTGACTTGCCTACGTATTTGAGTACCTCAAAGTCTTTCTCTCAAAGGCTGCTATTATTTCTTTATTCTTTTCAGTCAATGTACAGGTTTCAGCTCCATATGTCAAAACAGTTCATATTTTGTAGTTTTATCTAGTAATGTACATATAAATTTGCAGATTGTGAGTTTAGTTGTCTTTTGATAAAGTTTCATTTCAGGCAATTCCTTAAACGGAACCAAAGAAGGATTAGTTAGCAAGTGTTTACTCTTACGAATTCATGCTTAGCATATTATCACTGCGGAAATTTATTTCAATTCAGTGTTAATATTTGGTTATTTACTATACTACATTGGTATGTTTAAATATCATTAAAACCAGCAATGAAATGTACAACAGAATTATAGTATAGAATGATATGTGTATTATAATACTACTTTTAAGCTGTGATGATCTCTGAAGATGAATTAAATGCTGATCATGGGTTACTCTTTGGTTTCATTATTAACTATTGTAAAAATAAATAATAACTCACACATGATTTATAATTCAATCATTTAAAGTATCCATAATGTTATGTATAATGTATATTCATTTTTATTAAATTACATCATTTTTCTTAACAGCTTTCAGTAAAGAACTGCTTCATAAGAGGCTCAGTTGTAAGGTACGTACAGCTACCAGCAGATGAAGTTGACACTCAGTTATTGCAAGATGCTGCAAGAAAGGAAGCTGCTCAGAGCAAGCAATAATTACTCATTTAAAAATATCAGATATTATCTTCCATTTGACTTTGTACATAACACATAACTGTCAACTGAACATTAAAATGAAAGTGAAGAAATATTTTTGTAAAGACCAAGTAAATGTTTTTTTCATTTTATATGCAAATGTTTCACAAATATTATGTTAGAAACTAAACTGAGATTTAAATCCATATATAGTTTAAATATGCTGTGCATTTTATCAGGACTACTAAGAAATTGATTAAGGTTTTGTTATAGTTTAATTTTCTCAAGATTTTCATAGGAAAAATGTTTTGAGTTTTCTCTTTTAAATTTAATGACTAAACTCTTCATTTCATTTATATAAATTATTAATTAAAATTATTTATTAATTAAAGTTTCTGAACTTTATATAACTATTAATTTCAAAAATAGAAGTGTGAGGCAACTTTGATTCTTAAATTTTCTCATTCTGTAGTATTTATAATTTTGATCAGAGTTCCTATTACAAAATAGGTAAAAGTCAACTTTAGATTGATTTATTTTCTAAGAAAACTATTTTTTTTACGCAATAGGTATAAAGTTGTTTTCAAGAAGCAAAACTATTTCCTTAAAGAAGAGAAACTCTCCCATCAAAATGTTAAAATTTTTTCAACTGATATGTTACTTTTTTTTTAAATTACTGAATTTGCTTTTCTCCAAAATTTTGAAAAATTAGTTGTGTGCCACTTCTGAGAATGTAAACATACAATGTGATAACATAATTTAATCATTAAAAATAAATAAATAATAAACAAGTTCAAAAATACTTGCGACCTTGGGTATTTGGAAAGTTAAATATCATGAAGTACAAATTATTTTTTCTTTTAAAAATTAAAACATGTGAGATGAAGCTTTATTACTGTATTTGTTCAAACAAAGTATTCCATTTACTAGGCAAAAGTGGAACAATAATTCAAAACTTAACGATCAATGCATTAGTTAATTTATTTGTTTTCTGTCCGAAAGCTGTGTAGCATTGTACTGCTATACCAATACTCCAAATTTTACTTAACATTGCATAGAATTGTTGCTAATTTGGATTTTGTGTAGTCACTAAGAGAAATGAATATTTAGTTCCAAACAACTAAGACAGCAGAATTAATTGAGAGTTCATTATGTGGGGCTTTTTTTTTTTTTTTTTTTTTTTTTTTTTTTTTTGTTTTTTGTTCTTTTATGTGAGGCTTGGCATGAATATTTTTCAGGAGTAAAATAACCAGATGATGTGGCATACATGGATAAGGAAAACTTTGTAGTATAGAATGAATTTGAAATTCATTTTTCATTCAACTTCTTGTAAGTGTAAAATAACACTTAAAAACAATGTTAAAAAATGACCTCTGAACTTAAAATCTATGGTATATGAGTGATAAAAGATAAACCTGCACAACAATAATATAATTAACGTAATATATTCTGAAATTCATATTGTATATTATTCATATTAGTTTTATATTTTGATTGTAAAAATTATTTCTTTTAGATAAAAGGAATTAATTAAAAAATTTTGTTACTCATTCTTTTCTTAATTTAAAATCTGTTATGTACTGGAAATATAAATGAGTGTACCAAATTATGATCAGTGTTCATCTAAAATAAAATCTTATTTAATTCTGACATTTGTATAATTGCTTTCATCTAATCACTGATATTGTTTCGTGTAAAACATTTCAAATTTAAGTAATAAAAAATTCTTATGTAAAACATGGTACAAAATTAAAAAAGCATTAAGAATTTTAAATACTATATATTTATTTTATGTATTATTGCTGCAGGCTTCAAAATGCATTAATCCCAGATACTGCATTTTAAAAAAAAAACTTATACTGTGAATGGTTGCATTCCACTGTTTGTAATTGCTCTAAAACCAAAAGTATGTTTAAAAAAACATATCATTTAAATTGTCATCAGGAAAAAAAATTATTTCTCAGATCCCATATCTTATATTTTATAAAATTCATTAACATAAATTAAGGAAGTCACTTAGGAAAGTCATAAATCACTTAGAGAAGCTTCAAATTTGTGAATAACATTACTGAGACCCACTTTTCATTGTTTGGGGAGGAAAACAGACTTTTCAGCAGGATATAAGAATATTAACGAGTATGAATGAATGACTACTTTTTATATGTTTAGTTGTGAGAGCTAATTATATTTTTGTAATACAATTATTAAACAAACAAGTATCATAAAATAACAAATATCATTCACTCTTAAGTGAATTTCAAGTAAATATTTTTAATAATACATGTTTTCCTTTTCATTCCTTACATGGAATGTGAAGTTTTTTCTAAATTCAATCTTCTGCATCTTCCAAAAAATTTCTATAATATTTTACCCCCCTCCTCCCCCAAAAAGAACCTAATTATATTTTTCACTTTTTCAATGAATGTCTAAAGCATTAGTAATGAAAAAAATGTGAACAATTTCTAACTAATAGGTCTATTTTTATCTTTGGCTGTTGTGAAGTTAATAAATGTTGGGAATCATCTTTTCTAAAATTAAATGTTTTTTAGTTCTTAATTTTTAGTTGAAAAATAAAAAAATAAAGGGTTTGTCATAACAAGAAAAAAAGTTTGTATTTCAGTTATAAAAAAAAAATAAATAAATAACAAAATGATATTAAAAAAAAAATATGTGTATATAATGAGCATGTTGTTTAAAATCAATAAAATTTGGGTGAAATAAGATTTAAATGTGTTTGAAACTGGAAATTTATTGATAAAAAATAAAATAACAGCTACATGTTAAAGGCACAATGTTTTCCGTAATTTTACTGTAATATTCAGAAGTATCAGTAATAATATAGTCATATAAATAATAGTTTGCATTATTTGTATTAACTTATGTTTTAATGTGATAAAATGATCGAATAGAGTCAGAGTTCAGAATATTCTGCGTCATTATACTATTACCTTTCTTTCCTTGAACGAAAATGTAGTTAAAGTTGTATATTAAATTTTCTCTCTTTTAAACACAGTAAAAACATCCAATTTCTAAAAGTATTTTTCAAGGAAATAGTGTTGTAATTTTTTACCTTCATCTAAAAATCATTAGCTCAAGTAGTTTTGCATAAGTGACAGAGAGAAAAAGTATGCATCATTCAGTATGTGGTATTACTTTGGTAAGATTTAAAGTTGTATAGATTAAATAAACAGCAAATAGTGAAATATATTTGATATTTATAGTGAAATCAGTTATAAAGTTATACAGTCAAAAGTCTTTAATAAGGACGTCCATAATCCGGACCTAAAAGCTATAAACTTTCTGTGCATGCGTACCAACGCATGCGCATATGCGTCTCATGTATGCGTATATGCCTTTACGCATGTGCGTTTAATGTATAGCCAACTGTAAAAGCTAAGCTAAAATTATCTAATTATCTATTTCAGTCGCATTAATGTTGCAGATTGCGTTGTTCCTTGATCTTCGAATTCGATCCGGGCTTATTACTTTTTGCAGACTGTTAGAGCAATTTTATAAAAGTAAGCTTGAACTGTCGATTATGTCAAATAGAATTTCCAATGCTGGATACTGCCAAAGGATCTACAAACGAAAGCATGTTTTGATGTCCATCAAGCAAAAAAGTGGAATTGCTGCAAAAAATGGATAAAGGCATATCCTTTGTTTCTCTAACCATTCCGAAATCTGTTTATCAATTTCACGCACGCTGCTCTGCGGGGGAGGGGAACGTCGCGGCGTGCAATGAACTGGAAGTTGATCTGTCAGCACTATCCTTATCTTCAGGGCAGATGTTTTTATTTTATTCGGTTTATAGTTCATTACTAAATGTAGTATTTCATCTCGATGTACTCTGTCTTTGATATACTGTATTTATGCGAATCTAATGCGCATCTCCATTTTAAAACTTTAAATAATAAAAAAATTTTTTGTCGGCGAATGTAATGCGCATCAATGGTATGAGGAATTTATTGAATCTTATTTTATACAACAATGGATTTGTATATAAACTATCAATCAATGGTATGATAATTTTATTTAAATTTAGATACCATATTTTATACAAAATGGATTTATACATAAAGTAGCAGAACATAGAATTAACCTATTAGTGGGCTATTGTTATGTGAAACAATCATTGTTAATTACCACTACTGTATATACGGTACATATCGTAAAGTATGAACATGAAATAAATCATAACATTTCTATCTAGCTAACAGTTTCTACAATCAGTGATTAATAGTAAACGTTGAACTAATTAATTATAATAATTAGTTTCTATTATATTAATAGAAACTTTATTCACTACTTTGATGATAAACCTTTTTAGTCCCCTTCTCCGTAATGGTGTAGTTACAAGGCATATCAAAACCAAATTGGCGTCTCGTCAGCGTTGCCAATTTGCCCCATTGAAAAATTCTTTTCCTTCCGAAGTTGTGATGACATACCGCTAAAATGTTAGTAGTTTTCCCTCAAAATCTGCAGGAAGCTTTTGGCATATTGTTGTACAGCGTCTTAGAGATAAGCCCATCCGCTTCATAAACCGATTCACGGCTAGCTTTTAAACTCTGGTTTCGGTTTCCAAGAACTTCAGCCTCCTCTTTTGCTTTATTCTTATAGTGTCGCTAGTCACAGGTTGTCCATTCTTCCTCCTTTCACGTACAAATTCCAAAACTTTTTTCTTCAATTTTAGGGTGTCTTCCTTTGCGAGGGCCAGTGAATTTCTTTCTACTAGTTTTAGTTGCAAACAGTGCCAATTTCTGTTGCCGCCACAAGCGAACATTGCTCTCAGCTACGTTTAACTCTCTCCCAGCCTTTCTATTGCCATTTCTTTCAGGATAAAGAATTACTTTACGTTTTGAAAGTAGTGTCATATGACATTCTTCTCTGCTTGCCCTCCATTTCGTGACTACGTACTCTGCAGTTTGTATCCTCTATGCAATAATGTGTCAACGATAAATGTAACGGTAAATGTAGTCGAGAAATAGTAATCCATTGTTACAATTTAAATTCGGTTGACATCATCGGCAAACTGCTGACGTCATCGGCGAACTTTGCACTCGAATCTAATGCGCACCCCAATTTTGAGTACTACATTTGGCCAAAAACGATGCGCATTAGATTCGCATAAATACGGTAATTTTAAATCAAATTCATTATAAATATCACGAATACACATCAAATAGTTTTTTGGTTGCAATTTTCTAATTTCGATTATGCGTAATGTATGCTTTACACATGCGCACGTTGAAAGAAATGTTTAATATAGTAAAATAAATATTAAGCTTTTTTTTTGTAAATTTTGATACTTTTTAGATCATAATTGTTCTTTATTTCATTAATTACGGTTTTCATATTTTTAATTTATAATTTCTGCATGCCATCTTAACCAGATTTAAACTGATGATCTATAATCCGGAAAAATCAATAATCTGGAATCGCCGAATTCCCGATGAGTCCGGATTAAAGACTTTTAACTGTACTGTTATTTAAGAAGTTGTTAGCAACTTTTTTTTTTCTTTTTCAATA